GAGAGGGGGAGAGGGAAGGGGAGAAATAGACATCGTCTGGCTGCCTCCCACAGGTGCCCCCATGGGGGCCAGGGATAGAACCCAGGACCCTTTAGTGCCTGGGCTGACACTAACCACTGAGCCAGGGCTTCACCAGGAGACTTTTTAGTTTTAACAAAACATTGAGACTCACAAGACTACCATGGCAATCTCGACATTAGAGATCCACTTAGAAGGGACACAGCTCTTGGACAGGGCAGCCTTGGGATTTCTTCTTCAATGGGACCAGTACGTAGAGCCAAAGTCCGTCGAGCCATTCAGAAGCTATTTTCTTTGGCCCGCAAGGTGATGGCTCAGATACAGACAAAGGTGGCTCTGGCAACCACCCTGGTTTAACGGCTGACAGGAGCCACTACTGCTTGCAACAACTCCGTAGACATAGCTTCCAGCGTCTCAATAAAGGATGGGACAGTGAAAGAGTCACCATACTCAGCAAAACACAAAGAACAGCTCCTTAACAGATACGGAAAGGTCTCCCCGTCTAGTTGTACTCATTTTTATCACAAGAGGTCATTTTTATCATAAGCAGTGTTGCATAAGTGCAGCTGACTTACTCCCGTTTTCAGGGTCCCAGAGGAAGGAGATGATGAGAGTCATTGATTGGCGGCCTCGTGCATGCCCCTTGCTGGGGATCAAGCCTGCAGCCCAGGGCAGGAGTCAAACCTTGATCTCCTGGATTACAGGAAGATGCTCAACCGCTGAGCCATGCCAGCTGGGCTCTTAATCACTTGTTTTACAGCCTCACAAACTGATTCTTGCCCTGGCCAGGCAGCTCAGTTGGTTAGAGCATCATCCCGATACATCAAGGTTGAGGGGTTCGATCCCTGGTCAGGGCACATACAAGAATCAACCAATGAATGCATAAATAAGTGGAGCAACAAATCAATGTTTCTCTTTCTCTCTCACCACCCTCCCTTCCTTCCTCTCTCTCTCTAAAATCAATAAACTAAAAAACAAAACAAAAACAAAATCTGATTCTTAACCATTTCCCCAGCTCAGGTTACTGAAAATTTCCTTGAATTCCTGCCTCTCCCAGCAGGTCACTCAAGGATACAACAAAGGGGGTTCAATGTCACCTCCTGAGGGGTACAGGGCCAGTGAGTCGGCAAATCAAGGAGCATCACTGAGCATCACTACAACAGCCAGATCATGGTCATGAGGACTTTGTCAACATAAAAACATCCAAACCTATCGAGGATATTTATAAAAATTTATTTCAAATTTAATAGTGTTAAAAATTTATTTGAGCCAAACAGAGAACATGCCTGGAAGCAAGATCACAACAGACTGAGAAAAATGCTTAAGAAAATAACAGTTTACAGTTTATTTTATGCATTTGAGATTAAGAGGGAACATAAGGAAGATTACATGAGGGTGGGAGAAAGCAAGGCAGGGATTGGATTACAGCAGGGGTGGGGAATGTCCGGCCCACAGGCCATATAAGGCCTGAGAAGTCATTTGGTCTGGCCCTGCCAAGGCAACCGCAGTTCCAGCCATCACATTAGCGGTGAGTTAATTAAATGTTTCACCAAATATAGCAGGCTAATTTTTAAGTTGGTAATTTTGTATGGCCTGCAAATGATATAAACATCCAAATGGCTGTTGGCAGAAAAAAGGTTCCCCACCCCTAGATTACAGGCTAGTTAAGATTATGTGCTTTCTTGAGGATGGTCACACTTTAGAAAGAGGGGTCTGAAAGGGTGGTCAGGTATTAGAAGGAGCAGTCTGAAAGATGGCATTTGGGATGTTAACTTAAGACACACAGAAACATGGGCAGGGCTTGCTTAAGGCAAAGATAAGCCTTTTACTAGGGGAGGTATATGTCTGGGGCATGGCTACCCATCCTGACCTATCCAGTTAGGAATCTGTGATCAAATCCCCATGAGAGCCCTGGCCTACGTGGCTCAGTTGGTTGGAGTGTCATTCCATATACCGAAAAGTTGTGGGTTCAATCCCTGATTAGGAGGTGGCCAACTGATGTTTCGCTCTCACAGCAATGTATCTCTCTTTCTCTCTGCCTCTCCCTTCCTCTCACTCTAAAATCAATACAAAAACATGTCCTCGGGTGAGGATTTAAAAAAAAAAAAGCCATCCTGATCATCTTGTGCAATTACTTTCCACAGAACCCCTTTTTTGCCCACAACTATGGGGCTCTCAGCAACTTCTTATGCAACAAGCATACCCAACTAATCTTTACACCACACACCCAGCCACTTGGAAATTCCACTCCAGAGTCAAGGGGGCCCACAAAGAGACACATTTCTGAAAAGGGTGGAGGGGTGGAATGTGGGCAGGAAGGAGAATGAAAGCAGCCCCTAGTCCTGTTCCTCACACCTCTCAGCCCCTCCCAGACTCTGGTCCGAGCTTCACACTGCAAGGGGCAAGAAAATGCTCCAAGTAATGCTCAGCTTCAGGTGTGACAGCTACTTTCAGCTTGGGCCCACCTGGAATGAAGAAGGCAAAATCCACAGGAAACAGAGAAAATTATATGAGAGCGAGGCAGGATAGAAGTTAAGAAAAGCTTCTGATAAGTGAAATAAGGAAGTAGGAGCAGCCATTACACGCCAATAAGACTCTAGGTCCTCATCAGAGCCCCCACTTCCAGGCATGATCAAAGAGAAACAGTTTATGGCAGAAAACTCCTGCAGTGGGCACAGAAGTCAACAACGACAAGAACTGTCTAAAACCAGCTCAACCCAAGATGGAGGAAAAACTGACCAGAGAAATAGCCCAAACCTCGTTATACCATTATTATAATAAAAACTGATACCACAAGTAGAAGGGGACCAAGGAGGACAAACATCATGACATTTTGGGAACAGACCATATTAGTAACAAGAAGCCCCTCCCAACCAGAAGGTGGAGACAGAATTTGGCACCAGGAATGCCATGACACTTTTGAAAGAACCATATTAGTAACAAGACAACCCCTTCCAACCAAAAGGCAGAGTCAGAATTTGGCACCACAAATTTCAGAAACAACCCACCCTTGGAATCATAAAGTCCCAAGAACTGACTCACCCAGCAAGTAACTCACTGGCAAGTTTGCACACGTCCACTTGGACATGTACTTTTATTTCTTTCACAGCAACTAGGAGAGCAGCAGGCAGCAGCAGCTCGTTCCAGTCTCACCACCTGATCCTGTCTCCAGGAACCCACATCCTAGCCTCTTTTTCTCTACCTAAGTAAAATTTGCTTTCACTCTCACTTGGACTTGTTTTTGTTTTGTTTTTTTTAAACATATCTTTATTGATTTCAGAGAGAGGAAAGAAGAGGGAGAGAGAGAAAGAGAGAGAAACATCAATGATGAGAGAGTCATTGATCAGCTGCCTAGCCCGCAACCCAGGCATGTGCCCTGACCGGGAATCAAACCCAGGTCTCCTGGATCCTAGGTCGATGCTCAACCGCTGAGCCACGCCTGGCCGGGCTGGACTTGTTTTTGAATTCTTTCTTGCGTGAGTCAAGAGCCTGGAGGTCCTGGACCTGCAGGGGCAATCCAGTGACAGGTGGACTGGGAGCAAAAAAACCCACCTCAAACACCAGCACTTTCGTGATCCTGAAAAAGGCAGAGGGAAGCAGTCCTGGTTGACCTACACTACTGAAGCTGAGCACTTTCAAGGGGACTCAGTGGTTTAGGGAAATCAGGTCCAGATCAGCACCACCTGGGAGATTGTTAGAAATGCAAATTCCTGACACCTCCGTAGACTTACTGCAGCAGAAACTCTGGGAGTTCTGCAATCTGTGTGTCAACAGGGCCTCCAGGTACTTCTGATAGTGCTCAAATTTGAGACCCACTGGCTCAGCTAGACTAGTGTGGTTTAGTCATCCTGAACTCCCAGGCAGCAAGGAGACTGAATCAGGGCTAAGACAGAGGTGGGGGTGGGGGGTCGGGAGTATGGGAGTGGAGAAGGTGATCACCCGGGAAGGCTGCCATTCTTTCCAACTGTTTCTACAGGAATTAGGAATTAGGGGCTTATGTATAGTTTCTGAATCTATCTTTAGTCTAGATGTCCCTGCCCATATTGTTGAAGGCTACCAGGCACGGTTAAACAGCACAAGTCCACTCCACCGCCCAAACCAAGGGGTTCAGCATCCCACAAGAAGGGCAGGAATGAAACACATGCTCTTCCCTGTGAGTACCTCTTTACAGGAATACAGGTTACTGTGCTATATGCAGGTATGTTTAGGCCCAACAAGTTAAGTCTGCCGAGTCAGGGCCGTACTCCTGTGAGAAAATGTGATCTCCCCTCAGAGGCCTGGTAATTCCTGATATCATTCCCCAGAAGAAGTACCAGTCACTGAAGAGGTGGGCTTTAGGAAGGCAGAAAGAGATCGTCATCACTCTGATTCTCTCCTTTGTCAAGAGCAGTTTTTTCAAACTGTGGTCCAGAGACCACTGGCATTAGAAGGCCTTAGAGTTAAAAAAAAAAAAAGCAGATTCCTGGGCTCTGCCCTGGGCCTACTCAATCTGAATCTCCAGGAATGGGGCTAGAAATCTGCATTTTAACAAAAAATAAACAAACAAAAAACCCTGACATTTCTTAAATTCTCTGGAGTTTGGAAATAAAGGGCCTTGGGAATACTGAAGACCAATGGCCAGGCCCAGGCTCCAGGTGTGGGGTTAACATGGAGGCAGCTGGGGTGGGAAGGGATTTCAAGACCATGAGAATGACCCCATAACATACCTACTTTGTAGGTTCTCAACCCTGCTGCATACCAGAATCGCCTAGAATGCTTGTTAAAAGCAGATTTCCAGGGGTGGACCCAGAAATTCAAATTATCTTCCAGAAGAGAAGCATGGAAATCTTTGCACACTTCAATGGAGCACCCCAGGGAATTCTTTCACTAGGCAAGCCTGGGAAACACTGATCCCAGGTCCTATCTCTGTGTTCTGGTTACTCTGGGTTCATTTCCCTTTTGTCCTTCCTGAATTTGTAGCAAACCCTTGTTTTTGGGGGGTTTTTTTTGTTTTTTTTTTTTTTAGAGAGGGTAGAGGAGGAGGGAGGGGGAGAGAGAGACAGAGAGACATCAATTTGTTGTTCCACTTATTTATTCATTCACTGGTTGCTTCCTTTATGTGCCCTGACTAGAGATTAAATCCACAACCCTGGACACTAAGCAACTGAGTTACCTGGCCAGGGCTAAACCCTTGTTTTAAAGGGCCAGCATGACCTCAGCAAAGCTCCAGGGAATCACAAGTATTTTATACCTCCTCTTAAGCCAAGATCTTAGAGGGGACACAAAGTGTCCCCCCTAGGCCCATGTAAGTGAGGCAATGGTGAAGCCCTGAGAGCTCCAAGGGAAGGTATCCTCAGGACACACCGGTGACGCTGAATTCAGATGCCCAGCATGGAAGAGTATTCAGAAGCCCTGGAGGCAAGACTGGGAGATAACATGGAAAAATATTCCCTTCAAGGACATTCTTTAAAGGGGGAGAATTTTTTAACATGGCAACTATGCCATCGCCATTGATGAAAAAAGATTAGAGAGGCCTTGTGAAAGCAAGACCTAGAGACGCAAGGAGAAGGTAGCAAAGAAGGTTCTTTTCTTCACCACCCTCCCCCCCATGCACATCACATGACCTGCCCCACCCCCACACTGTTAGACCCTCGGGATCTGGTTCCAGTCCCATCCTCCTGCATTGCCAGACCTGGAGGAGGGAGAGTATTTTACTAGGGGAGGCAGTTTCTTCTTCTTGCGACAGTTTGGCAACATCAGGCACAAACCTACTTCCGCACCTCCTCCCCCCAAGTGAGCTGCCGGGTTTAAAAAACAAAAACAAACAGCATGCCCGGTTACATCTGAATGTCAAAAAATGAATAACTTTTGCCTGCTGGGCGTGGCTCAGTGGCTAAGCATCAATAGACGTAGGATCCAGGAGATCGCAGCTTGATTCCCAGTCAGGGCACATGCCTGGGTTGCAGGCTCGATCCCCAGCAGGAGGTGTGCAGGAGGCAGCCGATCAATGACTTTCTCATCATTGATGTTTCTATCCCTCTTTCTCCCTTCCTCTCTCTGAAATCAATAAATATATATTTTTTAAAAAGAGAGAGAATGCATGTAAAGCCCTTCACATGGTGCCTGGCACACAGTAATGGCTCAATAAAATTATTTTCAAATCTGCGATTAAGCCTAAGAATCATTTCCTGTTGGCAAAGAGCCTTGTCTCCAAGTCCAATTCTCTACCACGGAAATTAGGCTTGTGATTCTCTGAAACGAGTACAAACATTCAGATTAGTTTAACTCCCTCTCACTGAGACAATCCCAGGCCTTTGAGAAAAATGTTAATAAATTCTACCTATAAACAATAGAGTCGAATACTTCCAGAGACTCAGAAATGAATTGCTTTGTCCATCAACCCACATGAGCCAGCTTATTATTGGGATGAATGCAGAGATACACTAAGAACTGAGAAGCTTGAGGAGAATGAGGATGGAGACCCAAGACCTTGAAGGCTCACCTAATTATCTAGAGCTATTCCAGATGAGAGGTCACCTAACTGTCGTGTATGCCTGAAAAATTTAAGTGTGCCTCTCTACCCCAGGATGATGCTATCTCTTATCAATGCTTTAGCAGATAAACACTTTAATTGAGATAAAGGGAACTGATAAGTCTAAAATGAAATTGACACAATTTTAGGAAGGACTATAGGCAGTTATGTAACAGGCATCAAGAGTGCAGGTGTTGGGAGTTAGACAAACCTGTATCTGAATCCTGGCACTTAAAAGCTGTGTGATCTTGAGCTTGTTACCTAATCTCTCTGAGTTTTTTTCCTCATAGGTTAAATGGGGATAGTTATAGCACCTACCTAAGCAGGGTGCAGGGGAAGTTAAGTAAAAGTATACGTGAAAAGCCTTGGCACATAGTAAATGCTACTGTTATAAAACACACGGTTTATGAACCTATAGAGAACATAAGGTTATAGTCAACTGAGGTTTCACCACGAATAAATCATGTTAAACCAATCTCATTTTTTCATACTTGTATCGTTCCTGAGCATGTTACACAGTTGTTGACTCTTGATTTTAAACTAGCCAGTGGGTTAAATGGTCAAATGCAGGATGGATAGCAGGACAGCTGGGTGGATCTCTTTAATGGAATGCCATGAGGTTCTGTCCTTACCCCGTCTGGTCTAACATTCTTATTAAAGGTTGGAAAGAAGATGCAGAAAGCACCACACTGGAGAGGCAGGCCAGTATACTAGCGTAAAGATCAGAGTTTATCTTACCAAAAGCCAACAAAGTGACATGAAAGAGGGATATTGTCTTTAATTCAGATAAAAATAGGAGTCAATGTGTCCAGCCGGAGTGGCCCAGTGGTTAAGCCTCAACCTAGGATCCAGGAGATCACAGTTTGATTCCCGGTCAGGGCACACGCCCGGGTTTCGGGCTCGATCCCCAGTCGGGGGTGTGCAGGAGGCAGCCGATCAATGACTCTATTTCATCATTAATGTTTCTATCTCTCTCTCTCCCTCTCCCTTCCTCTCTCTGAAATCAGTAAAAACATATTTTAGAAAAAAAAAAAAAGGAGTCAATATTAGAAGACGAAGGAAGATTGGTTGGGGAGTAATTCCTGTGGCAAGACTCATTTATGCATGCATGCATTCATTTATTAATATTCATTCACTCAGTAATTACAGAAGTGTCCACACCAGGCCAGCCACTGCTGATGATGAAAAGATATAACAATAAAAGATGAAAAGACATAAAGCCTCCCTGCTCTCAGGGAGGTCACTGTCCAGTGAGAAGACAGACCTGGAAATGGAACAGCACAGTAAGAGAAGAAAGATCACCTAATACTGCACTGCTTTACAGCAGTGATACTGAGAAAGACTTGGAGGATCAGCACGCACTCGTCAGACAATCTGATATGGGAAAGAATGGTTTTCCAGGTAGATTTTACAGAACCTGCAAAGGCCCTGAGGCAGGGCTGGCTGTTCTGGTTGACCCTAAACAATTATTTTACATGCACGTTTGGGATTTGGAAAAAGTAAGATGCACAGACACATCAGGCCTTTGGTCTCATGTTCCAGTTCAGGTCCACTCCTGGACACATCTGCACCTTACCATAGGTGATGACAAGCAGCACGAAGTTGAGGTTTTTGAAGAGCCGGCTGACGCACTTTAAGTACGAAGTATCAGGTAATGCCAAGGAATAGCTCAGGGACTGGGCCCTGCTCGGGGGATGTTTAGGCTTCTCCTTGAATACTGGAAGGAAAGAAACAGAGAGATCACTGAACATCCCTGTGGTTATACCCCAGCAGAGCGACACATGGACAAGAGCTGGCTCCATCACCTGAGAAGGAGCTAGGGCTCAAAAGGAAATATTAATTCTTCAATTAAATCCTTTACACTGTTAAAGCTGCTTTTCACTGTCTATGGCTGAGCGAGTAGTCTAGTGATTACTTTTTCTTAGTGGCCTCTGGACAGCTGTAGCCATTGGGGCATTGTTCAAGGATCAAGGAGTCCCATAATAACTAGCAAAAAACACACTGCAGAGCCCTGCCAGGCGTGGCTCAGCGGGTGAGTGTCGACCTAGGATCCAGGCCATCGGGGTTCAATTCCTGGTCAGGGCACATGCCCAGTTGCAGGCTCGATCAATGACTCTCTCATCATTGATGTTTCTAGCTCTCTCTCTCCCTCTCCTTTCCTCTCTCTGAAATCAATAAAGATATATTTAAACACACACACACACACACTGCAGAGCACTGAAAAAAACACAATAGTCACACATGGATAGAAAGGAAATGAGAGCTGAGGTTTAGGATTAGTGAGGCCAGTTAATGGCTTAGCACCAGAGCTCTTCCCAAGGGGAAAGGAACTGGGTTGCCCCTGCTTAGCACATAGCTTGGCACAGGGCAGTCCACAGATATTCCTGGGTAAGTGAAAGGATCTACTATTAGAAAAACCTCGATTTCATTCCTAGTTTTTCAGTCTGAATCAGACGTGTTCCTCACAGAGCTAGAGGATTAACACAGGCTCCTGTGGGAGTGGCTGCTCTGATATGAAGAACTGGGGAGGGACAACAGGAATACCACTCCTTTTATATTCTATTTTCAGTACAATTAGTACAATCAATTTATTTGCATTGATTGCTATCCAGTTCTCTGGAGAGGTCAGTTTAACCAGTTTTTTTGGCTGAACTGATTCCCCAATTGGGGGCCCATTCCCCCATGGGTCCAAGCAGGCATCATGTGCCCCCCACCCCCCACCCCAGGAGAGCATACCTTCTCCAGTTAAAGGAAGCTTTGGAAAGGTTTAATGTCTTGTAGATCAAAGGCTCCCACTCCCCTCACCCTGCCCCTCTGGAAAGCCCTCCAGCCCTGACTTCAGAGCCCAGCTTCTTTGTTCTCCAGAAGCAGTCCTGGATCATTTCTCCTGGATAACTTCCTGCTGTTGGGAACCTCTCATTCACTGTCTTGCCTGTTCCCCTCCCCTTCCATCCGGGAAAAGAGAGCAAGGCAAGGGATTGATTTCTGCAACAGCAGGTGCTTGCTCAAGGACTTGGCAACCACAAACCAGAATCCAGATAAGCTCTTTCAGTTCTTTATTCAGTGAGATACTACCTGTGGTTGATAATAAAATGCCAAAAGGTAGAAATGTCCTACCTCCAGGATTTCAACTGCAAAGAGCCAGGACCTCACCTGCCACAAACTCAAGAATCTGAAGCTGGGCACATTACAATTTGAAACTTGAAGCCTGGCTAAGTAAGAGGATCCCTGGCTGGATTTTCTTTCCTGTTCTCACCCACCGCTCTACAGCTTCTTCCTTTCCAGGAACACCAAGTCCTCTGTCCAAGACACCAGGCAGCCCTTTCTCAGCCTGGACCCAGTGGGGGAGAATGACATGGTGACAGCAGTTGAATAAGGTAAATGATTATAAAACTGGCTCTGAAGGTGAGGCCAGAAGGAAGGAAGGAATGAAACCTCTAACATGAGTGAAACTTACGGGTATTAGGAAGAAAACTGGTTAACCTTTAGACAGTGACTAACTGAAAATGAAAACCTTTACTCTATTTCTGAATTTATCACAGCCCATATAATATCATTCAGATTATAAAGGAGGATATAAAATTATATTGTCCATCAAGAGTATGGTGTTGAATGGTATCTAGACTTGTGGTGGTGATCACTTTAAAGTGTACACAGATGTCAAATTAGAATACTGTACTCCTGAAACTTACAGGATATCTCTGCCCCTTACAGGCTATCTAATCTTGAACAATTTATTTAACTCCCCAAAGTCTTCCTCTGTTAAATGGGACTGATAATGGTACCTCCGCTCACAGGGCTGTTGAGGATTACATGAGATCAGGCATGAAGAACACAGGGCCTGTGCTATCATAAGTGCTCATGGGGCTTCTTCACCAAGGGAATCAGCAGCCTGACCATTAATTCTGGTGAGGTCGTATGGGGAAACAGTTTAATTACAATTAAACCTCTACTGAGCCACTAACAGAGTGCACAAGACCAGCTAGCACTGTATTGGGGGCAACTGCTCAGGCGAAAGCATTTGAATACCATTAGAAGCCTGGCCTTCAGTTTCTGTACATGTCCACTGTATTCTCGGGCCATGTGCACAAGGGCCTCGCTCAAACCAGAGCCTCCCTGCCTTCCCACCCCCCAGCAGTCTACTAAGGAACTTACCAAAGATGACAAGGATGAAAAGCAGAGTGGCGACACCTGCTGTTATGTAGAACATGATGCTGATGTGGTAGGCAAGCTCGTCCTGGTCTTCGACATTGGGTACCAAAACGGGAGGGACCAAGAACCCAATGGCAATTCCAAGCTATAGAAGACAGAGACAGTTGATTACAGTTACCAATGGCCAAGAGGTAATGGCACAAATTTTTAAAATCTCCTAGTAAGAAACACAATCCCGGTCTTTCTTAAAACCTAAACAAGGGACTGTTTCCTCCTCGAGACACCAGAGAGAGCTTTCTTTTGATTGACACCTCAATTCACATACATCCCTGACCACCCTCACCACCAATACCTATTGAAAAAAATTGTAATTGGGATTCTCAATGCAGGCCAGCCCTTCTGCAGCTACACACTAATGAACAATGGTTCCTATATTCCCGTCTCTATGGTACAGTAAAACAATGTTGACTTTCCTTGTGTCATTTAAATTCTTGATTTCAGTGACTCTGTTAACCAGGAGCTCAAAGACCAGCTAGAGGAAAGTTGAAAACTTCTACACCCTATAATCCCAAGGACTTGGATTCAATAAGGCTTAGAAGCCTAAAGTTATTACCACATTTACAAACAGGAAAGCTTAAGTTCATTGTGTAAATAACTTAGCAATTGACAAGGCATCTGTGGTATAAAGTTATATGCAACTGCATGCATTTATACACACAGGATATGGGTAAACTGGCAATGATCACCCCCCCCCCCCAAGAAGTTAA